ATCTTATAGTCTATAAAAGTTAAGCATATGTATATTATCAAACATAAATAAGGAAGTTGACCAGTAGTATTTGAAATTCTCATCCGTATTTTTGGAAGTTATTGTGTCGGCAACACTTTGAATGTTGATGTTCCTACTTATTAGGATCTTATAGTCTATAAAAGTTAAGCATATGTATATCATCAAACATAAATAAGGAAGTTGACCAGTAGTATTTGAAATTCTCATCAATTTTTTAAACATGGTCGCGGCCATACATCTAAAGGCTCCAGCCTTGTGATATTACCTTTAAAATCAATGCAATTAAGCGAAGAGCTGGGTAAGTTGTTTGATCATCAACTGGTTCTGGTTTAGAGTCTATATTGTCTTGAGCCTACCAAGTCAAGGTTGTATAAACCCCCAAGTCCATGACCTACTTCTATGTGCTTGTGGGCTAAGCTGATCAAGTGATTAGCATTTGTCCTTTATGCTAACATGCTATATGCACTTGCCAGTCATGCTGTATAGATTCCCATATTTGAAAGTTCGGCTTTTGTTTGAATATTCTTTCGACGTTTTCTTTTCATTTATCAATAGACTGGCAAATTAAAACTAACTCCCTTCTCATTTTTGCAGTATAATACTCGATTTCTTCGACAATTTCTTCAAAATAGGAAATCAGATTTTCTAGAGTGGCGTATTAATCATTATTGCATTGATTGGTGTCACTGTCAAGATTCTTCTCTCTGCATGGTTGGCGTCATTTTAGGCTGAATGTGATCTGCAAATAGGAGGGGTGGCAATGAGAGAACCCAAGCGACTATGATTCTGTCTTCACTAAAATTTAAATTTGAAGATTTTGTTCTTTTCCACCTTCAATGCATTAACACTTAGTATTTTAATGGAATTTGCACTCAATTCCTTCTATCTACAATACTTTTCTATTTGATCAACCTTTTGGATTAGTCACTAGAGCCCTAGCATTATGACATCCAAGAAGAAGCAAACCGAGGGTATTGCTTTACTGTCCATGTACAATGAGGAGGAAGATGACGAGATAGAGGATGTTGAAGGAGGAATGGAGGGAGGAGAGCGACAAGAACAGGATGGTGGGGATGCAAGGAGTGTGGAGGAAAATCTAGAGACTGATGCTGAGATGATGATGATCCCTGATTCTGCTACTGAGAACCCTACCGACTGAAAATGATGGGATGACCTTGAAAAAGAGTAAATTTGGGACTTCAATGCCACCACAGCCTTAGGTTGATATGTTGGTTTTACAGCAGGATCAACAAGTAGTGTCTGTTGAATCTAGGAGTAGTAGGACAGGGACAGTTACCATTGTAGGTCATGATGAAGTAGCAATGTTGCCTGAGCCTGAGGTACTTTCTCTTACTTGAATCCACCCCTCCGTTTTTTTTGTTGAGAAATGCATTTAAATGGGACTGAGGACGTGGCAATTTTTGTATACTATTTGTCTTCTATATGTTCCTTCATCATTATTTTCTTGCATTGATGGAGTCATGTTTCTTAAACTTGAAAATTGCCCAAAATGTTTAAGACCTGCACATTACCTTAGGCACGCCTTGCCTTATTTTCCAGGCAGGTTACCTTCTACTAGGAAACCATTTTCTCCTTCTTTATTTTATGTTACGAGTTAATAACTTATATTTGATTCTTATATCAGGATAGAGGGCTTGATGGTAATGGTCGAATCATGTTTAGGGAAGAACTTTAAACAACAAATGGTATTTAAAGTATGTTCTGCTAAATTTATTGTATCCTTTCTTTGGACACCTCATCCCTATATAGGTTATTCTCAAAGAATGAATATTACTTGATTAATCTGTTGGCGGTAAAGAAGAATATCTCTAGACCTTCACAATGTCATTGATTTCTTTTAGAACAGAAGAATTTAAAATTTTGACCAGTAATCTGTTCTGTCATTTGGCCAGAAAGTCTGTTCTTTCTGGAACTTGTATAAACAGTTCTGGTAAGATAATTATGAATATGAGCTAATGAATTTGAACTTTCATATTGTTAAGGTAATAAAGTCTGTTCTTTCTGGAACTTGTATAAAGTACTTGACACTGATGTTGCTTTACCACCCCTAATTATCACAGAGGCGGATATGAGATGTGAAAGTAATTGGTGTTCCAAGGATCAATGTGCCCGTTGTAGGTTATAAAGCAACCTAGTTTACAGATGGTATAGCAAAGGTCATTCTTAATACTCATTTTCTATTTTATGCTGATTTTCTCTCTTCTCTCTTCTCTCTTCTGGTGGTTTGCCTTTGATGCCTCCGACTGCTGGGGCCACCAATCGTGATGGTAGACTAAACAAAAATCAAAGGGGGACAAGGTATTCATTTAAACAAATGCGCGATCATGTGCAACTTGCTTCAAATTTTTATCTATGCTGACAAGATTTCAATCAATAATCGGAAAAATCCTCTGCCCTCCTGCTTACTCACGCTACAATTTTATCTACTGCTAATGCTGGTGGTGGATACATGCATTTTGCGTAAATCTTTATGTATTCTAGAATGAGATGTGTTTGATACTATGACCATTGTTGTAATGTTGGACAGGGAGCAAAAACGACTAGAGGCGGAGGAGAGAAGGTCAACTGAAAGGAAGGAAAGAAGGTCATGAGCTCCACTCATTTTCGTTTGTTAAACTAATGCCTCCAACCATTTTGAAGTCCTTCAGCTTGCCATCGACAAATACTTTTGTCTGTTCAGTAGGTCTTGCTAAGTCACCATTCTATATATTATGAAAGGTGGAAAGTAGTGTTGTGGTTATCACTGCTTTTTTGTGAGCACACTGAATCAGGGTTTCAAGTAGGATTGGAGTACAAAATGCACCACTGATTCGTTTTAGAGTGGTCTATGTATAAGCTTTTCTTTCTTTGTTGTTTTTTTTTTTGGGATAATTGTTGATACATGTGAGAGAGTATACAAGTGACCCTTTTTCATTGGAAATGATGTTTTGGCTTTTTGTTGGATCCAAAAAGCGTGTTCTTCTCTCGCTGTTGTCAGTGTGAATGGCGCCAATGGCATAAGCAAGTAAACTGAAAAATAAAATAAAGGGCATAGGGAGTGATTTTGTTAACTACTATCAAGAAAGTAAAAATGGTGAATTTAAATGCTACGTATTTCAGTCATTTTAGCTAACAGTTCGATATTGACCTAGTAAAGTTATCTTCATTATTGCTTACCCTTATCTATTGAAATTTGGACCGTAATAGATAAGTTGGCATGATTTGAATCTTATCTCTAAATTGGTTTGGAAAAAATAACTTATCTAGCCTGCTTGCAGTCAAGTCCCGATTAATTTCATTTATTGTTCTTTTATGTCTTCATAGATCATAAAAACGAATATTGTTTCATACGGTTATCAAGAATTCCATGGTCAATGGAGAACAATCTCATTGAACTAATTAATAATCTTAATACCACAATTAAGCAAACCACGAAGATGTGAATGAAAGCTTCATAACCACTACATACCAATTTCTGAGTCTTCATACATTAATGGGACAAACCACACTTTGGGTAGAGTTTTGTCATGCATCACCCAATTGTTTATGATAAAAACAGAGTCTCATTTATCAAATAATTGAGAATTCAACAAAAGCATCACAGCACTAACATCTGTCCATATTCATCAACCTGCAGTCAATGATTTTGTAGTCCACATTTCGGATTAGCCACCTGCATTAATCAAGCAAGGAAACGAAGAAGACTATTAAGTGTATTCTACATATATTCATGTTATCAAATATAAATCATTTTGTAGTCAATGCGTCAAAAAGCCTTATTAGTTTTCTTATTTTGAAAACCGTTTTCTGTTTTTAAAAAAAAAAAATTAACAAGGCTTGTTTTGTAATTTGTTGTTAAGTGTTTTTAAAAACCAAAAAACAGAAAGATTTTTAAAAACTCAAAAACGAAAACGACTTAGTTATTTTCTTGTTTTTGTTTTCACATTTCCTATTTTTTCGTTTGGAAAAATTGGAAAACTTTTTTTTCTCTACTTGATAGCTTTTCCTCCATTTAAAAACTTGAGTTCTCATTGAAAGTTCACTTTCCGGTCTCAATATATTTATTTTCAAATGTAGTTTTTTGAAACAATTAACCAAGCGGATCCTTTTTTTGTTTTTCTGCTTTCAAAAGTGGTTTTAAAAAACAATTTTATAATGCTATTTTGAGGGGGGCAAAACAGAAACAAACGGCCCCTCTGTTTTTATCATTCTATTTTATAAATATATATCATATTTAGTTGAAAAATTGGGTTAAATAGTTGGGGGAATCTAATTATCAAAATCATTATTTTTGAAATATGCCAGCTGTTTCTTTTCTTCTTAATCACAGTTGATCTCTTTAAATAAGCAAAAGTGATTCACTAACTCAACTGATACAACACAGAGAGAATGTACAGAAACAAAGAAAAATTTTATAAAAAAGTTATAAAAAAAAAAACACTCACACTCACAAAAAGATGGCTCCTCTGTTGCATCCTTTAAAATATGTAGCAGTTGTTGATATTATAGTAACTACTATTGGAAAAAAAATCGAAATAAACTTCAACAAGCAACTCATCTTTTAGTGATAGTAAAGCACAGAAAAATGCAGCAAAAACATACAAATAATTTAAGAAAAAGAAAAAATTTGGCGTATAGGGAGAAAAAAGGGAGATGCAATTTCTTTTTTATCTTCAATGCTTGTCCCTTCATATATGAGGCTTTCATTGATATCATAATAACCACTAGGAAAAAAAAAAGGGACAATAAGCAGAAAAAATCATAGAAGTAACGAACCTGGAAAGAATAACATGGATGATGGACTTATCCTTCTATATATTAACACTATCCTGCAGTAACAAATCATAATATTAGCTGCCTAAAATAGAAGGTAATTTTGAAAAGAGACGTCATTGGCATAAGCACGATACAATCAATTTTCTATTTCCTTGGTCATTAACAACACGCTTTCCAAAACAATATTTGTTAGTGTGGGTATGTCATACCTTTGCTGAGGATAGCATTTCTACTGTTTTGTTAAGGTCCCCTTTATCCTTCCACTCCATCTCATGCTCTTCTATTTTTACTCTAAACAACTTTGGTGTTTCCAACACTTCTGAACATAACACCTTCATTTCAGGACATCTGGTTATTTCTATCTCTTCTAATTCAGGGAATTCAAGTGTCTGACTCTGTGAAGAGAACATCTTCAAGCTTGGCATATCAGCAAGTTTGATGCACCACAATTGGTTGAATGTGATTCCACCTTCTACACCTTCATTGCTCTCATTCAATACAATTTCCTCCATCTTTTTGCAATCATTTATCTCCAACCATTCAAGACTCACCAAGCTTTTGGCAGTTGAACTTGTCACCAAATAGACGAGTTGATGACATCCAGATATAGACAACTCCTGCAAATTTTGAAATGAAGCAGAGGATGGTACCAACTTGAACAAGCTATGACAGCTTTCAACTTCCAGGCATGTTATTAGGTCTTGATGATTTGGTGGTAGCTGAGAGTCATCCTTCCATATGCTCTTGAGTTGATCCAAATAGGCAATGTGTAATTCCTTAAATGGTGGGATTTCCCCCCTAAAATTGATAATCTCATCCTGTGGGGGGAATACCTCCTCAAAGGAACTATGCTCCACATAAAGCCTATTCAACTTGGGAAATTTTTCAAGGGAGCTACAGGGAAAGGTTACCCCTTCATCCTTGAAGCTTTCTACATAAAGAGTTCTCACTTCAGGAAAGACATCCCTTATTATCGTGATATTCTTTGCATTTAAAGCCATGCTTTCGGTTGTGGAAATTACCTATAAAATCATAATTAGTAAAAAAAAAATTACCATAATGAGTAGGCGATTTAGTAAATTACATCAAGATATTGTTTTCAAGAATTAAAACTTTTCAATGGATCACTCATCTTCTGCTAATATCTAAAATTTTCATAATTTCACCATGAAATAACATCCACACCTTCAAATTTAAAAAATCCTTAAAATTAACTTCATAGCCCCTTTCTTTCGTCTAAGTTAAATTGGAAAAAAAAAAAGCCATAATTTCCCTGGAATTGAAATTTAAGGCTGGCCTTTTTTTTACTATGAAAATAACTTGTTCAAAGATTATTGGTAAAATTATTATTATAAGAAGGTAGTTTAATAAATCAGGTCAGAATATTTTTTAAAATAATAATTTCTTATATTTATTGTAGATAAAATCTTTCTTAATTGACCGGTCATCTTTTTCTAATACTTATATTTTCCATCATCAACCCCCCCCAAAAAATACGTTAAAAAATAAAATTCTTTGAATCAGTTTATAGGCCCATTTCTTTCCAGTCAAAGATCTACAAGCATTATCACGCTATTTGTAGTAGTTTGCCACATCCATTAACCATCATTTGCTTATTAGATTTCGTGTGCAATCAGAGTCTTGTAATTTGATGAAAAGTTTATAATTTGGGGGTAGACGATAGAATGTCCAAACTTTAATATTTACATTAGATATTTATCTGAACCTAAATTTTGTAGAAGATGAGGAATAATTTAAAAAGTAAAAAACAAGAATATCAGTATGTTGGACTAACCTCTTGAATAGTAAACCGGTGTTGGATGGTGGCATTAAGATCAGTCATCCAAATATCTATGTGAGATTCTCCATATTCACGGGTCACTTGAACATTTTGAAGCTGCGGGGCATGAATGGCTCCGGAACAGAATGCCGTGAGTTGAGGGCACTTTGTTATGGTTACAGATTGTAATAATGGAAACTTGAAAGTATAATTTTGGCTGCAAAATCTCTTCAATCTTGGTAATCCATCAAGTTCCAAAAGCTCCAATTTGCTGAAAATGATTTCCGTGTCCTCATTGTCCTCTTCTTCCTGTCTCGCTATAATTTCTTCAATTTGATTTTGATGGCATGAGGATGATGCCAAGTTTATTGCTCCTTGGCTATGATTATTTCTCAACACATTCTTCAATTTTGGCAAATACTTTAACCTCAACTTTTTCAGTGGCACAGCCATCGGTGATGACAGAATCTCTTTATAATCATTTAAATCTTCAAAATAAAACACTGTCTCCAACATGTCACAAAACTCGACTTCCAGTTCTTCCAAGTTGTTTAAATATTTCAGCACATGAAGGGGCACCAATTTCACAATGTCACAATTACTCACACTCAATGTTTTCAAGCTGCTAAATGAGTTGTGTGAAGGTTTGTCATCCCATATCGGCGGAACCAGACTGTTTAAAGAGTCTAATTCTAATATCTCTAACTTTTGGAATGACACCTGTTGAAAGAAAATATAATTAAACGAAAATCTTTTAGCAAAAAATGAAAACAAAGTTACTGTTGATTTGCGAGGCTTAGTGTTCATGAAAGATTGTTTAAATGTGTAAGTATAGATCTCGTGTATCGCAATATTCTTCAAGAGATTGATAAAAGTTCAACTTCAAATTTCAAGTTCAGCAAACAGAAATAACTAACTAAAAAACGAGAGAATTATAAAATGCTACAATAGCTAGCTTAATGCCAAAGTAAGTAATTTAAGTGAAATAAATTTTGTAGAAATATTGAGACAAGGAAAAATAGAACATATTTGTACTGAACAGAGTAAATAATTCCAGTAAAATTAATTTTCACAACGTAAGTTTGAAATTAAGAAGTTAATAAGATAAGAAAATCTTGGTAAGGAAAAAATATACAAGATAAGAAAAACAAAAACAAATTAATTTTTTGTCCCGAAAAAACAATAATAAATTGATTAGTAAAATATTCTGGCCTCCTTTGTACTGAAAATAAGTAATTTAGTGAGTGGAAATTTGGTTAATTCTTTAAATAGATATATAATTGACTAAATAAGTTATAAATATTTCTCATTTGCTTAAAAACTTTAAAATTTAAATTTAAATAATTTCTATAATCTATTAGACTTAGATAATCTATATTATATGATGAAAAGAATATGTATTCAACATATTTTTTAGCCATTTAAAGAAACCTAAATAAATTAATTTCAATGTGCGTGACAAACAATTAAAATTATAAAATTTTATAATAGAATTAAAATTAAAAAATTTTATTACATTTTAAAAAGTCTGAAAATACATGTATTAAAATTATGTTTTGTGGTATTAAAAATTATTTTTAAAAAATGAATGTTTAAATAACTTTTACGTGAAGAAGCAGTATTTTGGTCAAAATAAAAGTTTAAGAGTCAAACTTAATGGTCACCTTATAGTTGGATAGATGGAAATAGAATCTCAAATCAAATATACAAGAGAGGTTTGAACAACATGTATTTTAGTTTTACTGTAGTTATACACACACACACATATATTTAAAACTAATTTGACAGCCCTTATGCATATATATATATATATATATATTTAAAACTAATTTGACAGCCCTTATGCTTTTATCAAATTTGGAATCAGGTTCCTGTAGTCTTTTTTTAAAATTTTATTAGATCCTTATTATTTGCTGAGTTAGTAACTAAGGTCCTTCTATTTATAATTGCCGTTACTTTAAGTTAACAGCGGTGATGCAGCATGACTAGGCACCATCTTACTTACCTTATCTGGAACACTTCCTCCCTCATTTTCTCTCTTCCTCCTCCAATCGGTTTCCTTTTTACGGTAAATAAATTAATAAACAGAGAGAGAATCTAATGATTTTGAAACATGGAGTGAAACTTTTACAAGAAGAGATAAGGATAACGTATCGGTAGTGGCAGGGAGAGAGAGAGTATGAAGTGTGTGAGAGAGAGGATGATGTTAGTTTGGAAGAGAACTGAGTGGAGGCGGGGGAGAGAGAAGATGAAGGCGTAGGGGTTACAGGTGAAATGAAGAACATGATGCTAGTCAGATCTTGAGCAGTGCCACGTTAGTGTTGTCATCTTAAAGTAACGGCAATCATAACGGGAGCAAAAAATAAGGATGTAATAAATAGAAAAAAAATTATAAAGACCTGATAATTTTCCCTTTTTAAAATAAAGGAAAGATTTCTATAATTTAGATAAAACACAGGGCTAGTGAGTATATTTTACTGTAAATTGATTTGAACGTACCTTATGATTATTTGTTGCTGGGTCTTCAATGTTGAAATCCGTTTTATGCTCTTCCGCTTTTAATCTTGGTAGACGACTGAGTTTTAATCTTCTCAACGCACTGAACGTGATTCCACCTTCCACATCTTCATTATTCTCATTCTTTACAATTTCCTCCATCTTTTTGCAATTCTCTATTTCCAACGTTTCAAGATTCACCAAACTTTTGGCGGCTGAATTTGTCATTAAATAGATGAGCTGATGACATTGGGACACCTTCAAAACTGTCAAATTATGAAGTTGTTGAATTTGATGAACAATGGCTGATGGGACTATCTCCTCGAAAGAACTATCCTTCACACGAAGTTCAGTCAGCCGCGGAAATCTTTCAAGCAATGTATGCAGAAATGTTGCCCCTTCATCATCAAATCCTACTATGCCCAGAATTTCCATTTGAGCAAAACAATCTGCTGGAAATTGGTCATTCCTTATCATGCTAACATCATACTCATCTAACTCCATCTCTCTTGATGCCGCAAATCTCTGTAAAACAGATATTGAGTCAGAAGCATGGTAATATTAGTTTATTAATTATGTCGCAACTTCTTATTGAATCAGTACTATTATTTTGTTTTTTATTGTGTCCCAATATCAAATGCGCTCACTAGAAGTGCGAAACATTTTGATTTCACTTATTTTTCATAAGTAATCTTGGAAAAGAAATAATTATATTAGCCACGACAAAAAACAATAATGCCGACACATTTCGCTGTGTATCGCATTAATCATTAAATTAGGACGTAATTGTTTGGGATATTTTATAATTAAAGTTATGTAATTAAAAAATGATAACTGCTCCCTCCAGTTCTTTTTATAAAAATTTGAAATTTGAATGGTCTTAGTTTTTTTTATAAGAGCCACCTTGGATTTGTCACAACATTTAATGTGTTTTTATCTTTTTTGTCTCTAATTAATTTTATACATTGCATTAATTAAAAGGCTGACAACTTGCTATATTATCTTATCTTTCATTTTTTTTCTCATTATTACTCTATTTTCTCTCTTATTTTTTCCCCCATAACTAAGGGTACATGTGGGAAAAAAAATTCATTTCTGATTGAAACATTTCGCTGTGTATCCCATTAATTAATTAATTATGATGGAATTGTTTGGGATGTTTTTGGGATGTTTTCTAATTAAAAAATGATAACTAAAATTTTAGTAGAAACTTCAAAACCGAAACATGTATAGGTATATTTATATTAAATATCATAACAATGGAATGTTTATAGATTCATATTTTTGTAAAAGCTGGAAATAGGAAGAATGGAGCATTCTAGACGTACCTGTTGGTAGAATGTTTTGTTAAGATTGGTGTCCCAAATTTCATGATGTTTTCCAAACCCATCTTGTGACAGTAGAACGCTTTTAAGAGATGGTGTGTCAATGAGTCCTGGAGAGAATACTTTGAATCTCGGACATTTTGTTATGATCAGCTGTTCCAATAACGGAAATCTGAAAGCATAATTGTAGCCGCAAAATCTCTTCAATTCTGGTAACCGTTCAACTTTCAAATGCTGCAACTTGCTGAAAACGACTTCCTCATCTTCATCATCCTCTCCTTCCTGCTTCCATATAATTTCCTTTATGTTAGAGCACCAACTAATTGAGAGACTTGTGAGATGGACCAAGCTTCGAGCAATTGATGACGTCATCAAAGTGGTCAACTCATAACAAGATTCCACGTGGAGATGTGTGAGATTTGGTGAAGAAACTAAGAGTGGTGCCAAGCTGTGATTTGGAAATACTGGAAAGAGTCAATTTTATTGGAAGAGGAACATCATCCCCTCCAGAAGCCTTCTTAATGTGACCCCCAGTCTCAGCTCCTCTAAATTTGGAAAGCTCTTCAACAATTTGTATGAAATAGTCGTTGCTTTATGATAACCAACATCTAGAAAGCAGTTTTACTTTGGGGAAGCGGTACATTGAAAGCTGGCCACTCCCTATCATCTCAGCTCCTTTACCCCACAATGTCAACTCCTCCAAATTATGAGTGACCTGCACAATACATAAATCATAACTAAATGTAACAACTAATCAATGCGTCAAATCCAGCCGTGTGCAGTTTTTTAGGAGGATATCTTCAAATTTAAATTTGATGCGTCCACAATTTTGACGTACGTGTATTTTGTAACTACAAATAATAATTATGATACATTAAAATGAATATAAATTTCTAGACTGGAGTTTCTATCTTTGATTATGACATACAAACGTTATTTCTTCCTTCGTTAGTTTTTTAAAAAAAATTATCAAATTAAAGCTAATAATGGCTTGAAAAAAGAAAAAAAAAATCCCCTCCCTTGATTCAATGGCACACCTCTTTTCGTGGAGATGGAAAGCCGAGAATTGGAGTCTCACTTTTTTTAAAAAGAAAAAATAGAAAATTATTTAATTAATTTCTAATATCTATTATTAATTAAAATAATTATTATGAATTATTCTTTTTTAGCTTTTCAAGTGAATAACCAAATTAATCCCAAACTACATTATATTCTAATAAATGGTTTAGTATCAGGAATAATTCACATACTTGAGTACTCAAAAATATCAAATTCAAACGTGCTCTTAGACTGTGAAACAAAATATGTTTCATTATTTATTTTAATGCTTAAAGTTATTTTCTGCTCTTTTATTAGATTGTTTTTAAAATAAATAACACATGAATAGCCAATTTAGAGATGTACCTTGTCATGGGACAGTAGAGGATATTTTGAGTCTAATGAGCTCCCTTCCTCATGTATTTCTAATGAACTTGAGACTTCCTTTTCAAATATCTCCAATTCATCACAACCTTCAATAGATAATCGATAAAGATGTGGCCATTCTAATGTGTGTCTCTGTGGATAGAAATTCCTCAAATTTCTAAGCGAAGAAAGCTCAAGGAAAGTCAACCTGGGAAACTCAACAGAGGAGCAAGATTCTGAAACTTGATCTTTTGCAACAATCACCTCTATACCACAATCACTTATTCGAAGCTCTTCAAGATCACGAAGCATGCCTTTGGCTATAGATGCAGGAAACAGACTAGTGAGGCTTTCACAATAGGAAACATGCACGCTCCTTAGACTTGGGAAGGAGACGTCTCCTTATAGTGATTGCTCCACACATTCTTAATTTTCGCAATCCAAAGCGTTAACTTTTTCAGTGGCACAATCACTGATGATGACTCCGCCTCTTTATAATCATTCAAGTCTTCAAAATCAAACACCAACTCCAACGTGTCACAGCTCCCTAACTTCTAGTTCTTCCAAGTTGTTTAAAGATTTCAGCACACGAAGGGGCACCAATTTCACAAAGCCACAATTTTCCACAAACAATGTTTTCAAGTTCCTAAATGAGTTGTGTGAAAGTTGGTCCTCCCATATCAATGGAATCAAACCGATTGAATTAGATAATCGCACTATCTCTAATTTTGGAAGCAACACCTGTAGTTTACAGAAAATATGATCAAATGAAAATCACTTTTAGTTCGTAGGCTTACTTTTCATGAAAGATTGTTTAAATGTCTAGATAAAACTCTCATCCACAATATTTTTCAAGAGATTGCTGAAAGTTCAATCTGAAATTCCAAGTTAAAAAAAAAAAGTAATCAAAAAATGAAAAAAAACTGTAAAATGCCATTTTAGCAAGCTTAATACCAAAGCAAGTACTTCTAGTGAATGTAATTTTTGCAGATACGTTAATTAAAAAAAAAGAACAAAATAAGAACAAACTTGAAAAATGCCACAATAGCCTGACAACAAAGTAAACAATTCTAGTAAAAATTAATTTTTGCAGGTAACTAAGTTTGAAATTTTGTCAGAAAATTAAAACAAAAAAAAATAAGAATAATTACAATGATTAGTCATCAAAACCACGAGCCACATTCTCAGATATTTTAGTGACAAGGACAATTTCCAAAAATATCAAATTAAGGTGCTTTTAGGCTGACAAATAATTTGAGGCATCATTATTTATTTTAATACTTGGAGTTAGCTTTTCTCTTTTATTAGTTAATTTTAAGTCATTAAAAAAAAAGAAAGCTGCAACCTTCCATAATAGCCTAACAGCAAAACAAGTAATTCTAGTGAAAATGATTTTTGCATACAAGTTTGAAGCTAAGTTTTGTAGGAAGATAAAATAAGAAAAAATGTGAATAAAATAATCTGAACATACCTTGTTCAAAAGCGACTCAGACATTTTATTGGATATGTTATTTGTTGCTGCTTCATGATGTGCTGAGTTCCAAACAATGGACTCAATAGCATCGTTACTTTCAATCTGAAGATGCCTTAAATGCAGAAATGATCTTCCATCATGACCATGTAGAACATTTTCAAGCCCATTAGATCCATATAAACACAAATCTTCAGCTCCTTTCATCAACTTTCGAACCCCAGGCTTCAAATAGATATCACTCTCAAGCTCAAGTTTCAATACCTTTGAAGTTTTATAGCTGACCGTCCACCATTTCCAGTGCTTCCCAATGAGTATTTTGTATCTCATCAAATTCATATCTAAGAACAAATTCTCCGGCAACATCGAGACATTAGGAATATGAATATCTAGAGAACAGATTGGCAAGCCCTTCAACTCGTCAAGACTCGCGTTTTCATTAGCTTCAGTAGATCCTTCAACTTTCCACTGGTGAAAGCTATTTCCCATAAGCAAAACCCCCAATTTTTTGAAGCTAGATAGCAGTTTTGGTGGAATCACTTTGAGCTCGGAGCAATGGGCTAAATTCAACATTTGTAAAGAAGTTAACTCTGCCAATTCAATAGGTAGTTGTTGAATTTCAGAGTAAGCAAGACTTAGGACTTCTAACTTCTTCAAGCTTCCAACCTCAATTATGTTTCTAGCAAACAAGAGTGGAGACACAATGTTTTTAGTTTTTGCAGGAACATGAGTGATGGTAGTGACGAAATATGCACATTGGTAAATGCCAACACTTTCAGCTCCTTTGATGATTTGAAAAACATCCTAGGTATGGCCAAATCACGTTTTGTGCTGTCTAGCAGAAAGAATTCTAATCTTGGACCATGAAGCTCTTCTGGAAGGTCACTGATGTCACTCTTTTGCAAGCAAATTCCCTTGTAGTCTTCAAGCTTATTTTTTTCAGGCCATTCTTTCAAGCTTCCATGCCTCACAATGAATGCATTTAATTCATTGGTTGCAATCGATATTGCAAGATCTCGAAAGACATCATGTATTGTAAAGTAATGACTAGAAAAGCTATCAAGAAATAAGTTTAATGATTTTAGATTACTTACGGCAGCAGAGACTCCAATGCGGGCATCTTCTATGTTTCTATGCCGTCAAGAATATCTAACCCCATAGAGTACATGAGCAGGTCATCAATTGAGGGATCATGGGACAGCATGGCGGAGAGCAAGAAGATACGTTTTTTCTCTAAGCTTAGACAATCATAACTCGACTTCAATATCACATCCACCTCTTTAATTCCTGTGATGTTTCTCCTTAAAGGATGATTCAATCGTTTACAGAAATCTTGCCACTCATCTAGATTTTTTCCCTTTAGTGCCTTGGCAGCTGCTGCAATCGCTAATGTCAAGCCATGACACTTTCGAACAATCTGATAGGCTATAGATATCAAGTTGTCAGGAGTGCTTGAGTCAATAGGAAGTTCAGAAATCCTCTTGAACAACTCTAATGCTTCATCCTTTGACAAAACGTCCACTTCGATAATTTTTTGACATTTCATGCCATTTGACAGCAAACTCTTATTCCTTGAAGTTAGTAAAATTTTGCAGCGTTCATTCTTTTTGCTAGAACTTCCAACATCAACAAAGGGAATTCCAACTTCGCCTAAATCAAGTTCCTTCCAAAGATCATCCAATATTAGGAGCATATTCTCCTCTTGCTTCAACCTTTCACATAGACGATAAGCTCTTACTTCAAATTTTTCATTGAGTTGAAAACCCAGCTTCTCTGCAATCTGGCCTTGAATCTTCTCAACGTCCAATTCATTAGAAACAGTTGCCATGATCACCTTTTTAAACATGTTTTGATTCTTCGCCTTCTCTGCCACCTCTTTAGCTATAGTGGTCTTGCCAACACCGCCAAGCCCACACAATCCGACAATATTAACACTAGGATTATCTAAGAGCTCCATAATTTGATTCACAATTTGCGTTCTAGAACCAATCCGTTCATTGCTTTTTCTGTTGAGTAATTCTGGCATCGATGGGGGAGGAACAGGATATGCAACCCTATCAAAGTTTCTCTTCCCATAGATTTCAACAACTTGCTGTGCCATTTCCTTTGCTCTTTTGCTTAGTTTATAACGTAGCCACAGGTTGGGACAGGAAGTCACGCTACACTCTGTTTTTGCTTGACTCTCTTCTTCATGAAACATTTGTGTTTGCGTTAAAATCTCATCTACTTTGCGCAACCAATGCTGAACTTTCTCTTCAATTTGTTCTAAATTTTTTCTAGCATTATCTATTTGCTGTTGTTTGGAGCTTCTCTCAAGGGTGAGTTCCTTAAGTCGTTCATTGAGCTCCTCAATGTTTCTGTGATACTGAAACAGATAACGAAGCTGCTCCCAAGTTAGATCGATCACTAGATCCCGGAACTTGTCAGCCAAACTACTCAATGTTCCGCAAGTGATATCCATTGAATATGCACTCTGTTAAAAACATATCCAAAACTCAATTAAACTTGGGTTGTGAATTGATGCAGAAATATTGGCACCCTTCAAACAAATGTCTCACCTTTTTTTGTTCGAATTAATGACGATGCAAACTTGATTTCCACTTTCCCCTGTCTTTCCTTTTTCACCCTGTGGAAATCAAAGCAAGAGTTTGGTCATTCAAATGATCACGATTGACAATATTAAATTATTTGCAGTCAGAGTATTTTTTGTTTTCATTCATGCAATATCAAGACATGATCACTAAATTTTGCACCCCTGCAAATAGATATTTGAAATTCTAGAAACGTCACCATGCAGGTGAGGTAAGGTGATAGGCAAGCTTATCATTAAACAATTAGGACATAAATTTAAAGTGCAGTTTTCTTTCTTCTTGAAGGAGCATAAAAAACCAGCAAAGTTAAAAATGATCACAAAAAATGCAAAAGGAGAAAACTTATGATTTTCTTTTATTTTTTAATAAAAAAAGAGAAAGAAAAACAAAAATCAGAAAGAAAAATTGCAGAAAAAATGTTTAAGAACAAGTTGAGAAATCAAGAAACAAGAAGTAAGGAATGCTGTGCAATTATGAAAGAAGACAGAGAGAACCAACAGAAATATAGCATAAATTGCCAACACACCGCCGTGGTGTAGTGGCACGTTGGTTGCCTTGGGTGCAACAGGTCGCGGTTTCGATCCGCTCCACAAGCACTAGCTTGTTGATGTTGATTCAAAAAAAAAAAAAATATAGCATAAATTAGTAACTAGTGCCAAGAAAAGGAATAAAATTCAGGAAAAAAAAAATTCTGAGAAAATGCCAAAGAAGAAGCAGGCATGAGGCTTTGGGAGGAGTAGATCGCCAAGGCTCTCGTGCATAGAGGAGTCAATGTAGCATAGAGCGATGAATGAGACCCACATTAATTAAAAAGAAGAGGGCTGCATTAAAGTAAAGGCACTATTTTGAAGTTGATTTGGAGCACATGACATTGGCAAAACACATAATGTCATTTGTTACGAAGATAGAAATTGAGATTGAGAAAACAGTGTTAGCATAAAAAATTGATTATTACACGGTGGCGTGTAGGGTCTGAAGTGACAAAAAAGCACGTGGTCCCCCCACGATTGTTACTTTACTATTCTTTTTGGTTTTAAAATTATAAACTAATTAATTAATTCACATGAATTAAAAAAATCACTCATTTAATTATTTATATTGAAATAAATTACAACATAGCATATAAATTATACAGTTATCTTATTTAAGATTGTTGAATGCTATTGCCAAAATACTTTTTTTAAGGAAAAGGCAAGAACATAGCGTTGCGAAAATGTGTTGAAAATTGTACAAAACAAACCACCTTTACATTTTCAAGATTTCATTTTCATATGCCAAAATATTAATTGATTGTTAAATTACACATTTTAAGCCAAAATATCTCTCTCTAATAAAATGCTGTTCAAAATTAATTCAAAATTATAATTTCATAACATATATTTGCAAACTTGTTTTATTCATATATTAAATTTAAATGTCTAATTCATGTGAACTCCGTGTTTTCAACCTCAGGGACTAATTAATGATTCCAACAGTAAAAGCTAGAAGAACCAATTAGTCAAAGTTTCAATAAAATTAATATTTAATGGATCGAATTATACATAGTTAAAGACTTAAAGTTCAGTCAATAATCAAATTAAAATTATGAGACCAAAATGATTAATTTTTCCCTCAAAAAGCTCGGATTTTAGCCCCCCCAAAAAAAATACAAGGGGGCATCCTTGGAGATAATGTAAAACTAGGGCAGCCACACCTTAATAAGTAACTTGCCCTCAATATATGGTTGGAAGTTGGAACAAGTTTCTTCTTCTTTGGTTGGTTGGTTGCTGTCTATATTCAGAAACACAAGAATATGCTGCAAAAGTTGAAAAACAGATTGAACTTAGTAAATATAGATCAATTAAACACAGACTGACATGGATATATATTTTCAAACTTACAGTAGTGACCGATGTGAAACTTTGCAATTTCAAGGTGTATGTAAACCTCAATCTCCCAATAGTAATCAGCTTTCCTCAGTGTTCCAACACAGATCAAGCAAGAGACACCTCTCTTTTTATGGTGTTTTGAACAATTTTGAGAAACAAACGCTTCATAACAATAGAAGACAACTATAAAATGCGAAAGTTTACAGAGAAAGATGACGAACTTGTGAAATTAAACAGGAAAAAACAATATCAACTAAGCAACAAAATATCAGAAATACGATGAAAAAGCAGTTTTTTTAAAAAATATTTTTGGGATTTTTTTCCTGGAAAAAATATCACAAAACCAGAAAAATAAAGTTGAAAATGATCACAACAAAGAAGAGCCGGAAAAAAATGCAAAAGGAGCAAATTCAGGATTTCCTTAAGAACATTTCTTTTAATATGGGTGAGACAGAGAGAAAATAGAAATCAGGAAAAACAAGCAAAACCCAAAACGCCCAAAAGACGTTAAGGAAAAAAAGTATTAGCAAGGAGCGATGTGAACAGTGAAACCATGAAAGAAGATTTAAGAGCCAACGAAAGTTGCAAAAACAGTAAATTCAGAAAGTAAGGAAAAAGGAAATCAGAAAGTGGAAATGCAGAGATGATGAAGCAAAAGAAGAAGTTGAGAAAGCAGTAGAAATTTGCAGCAGGGACAAAATGGGAGATTTGTTAAACTATGGAGAAGAAGAAGCAGATCTGAAGCTTTAGGTGGGAGGAGTAACTACAAAGTGGAGTCAAGTCAATGCAGAATGGCCAGGACACAGGACACCAGGGGGTTCATATTATTATTATTATTGGGGGGGAAAACACGTTGTACGGTTTAGGAGAATTATTTGCGTGTCCTTTGTTCCAAACAGTGTTGAAACTCTTTTTTAAATTATTAACTTAATTAGCTAATTTAAGAAAATTAAAAATTAAAAAAATTCCTTAATTACCACATGCAATAAAATGGGCTTTCGCATTATTTATGAAAAAAATTACTTAATTATGACATATATTACATGATTTTTTAAAAATATTTTTGTGTATTATTAGATTGTATATCAATCTGAGTTTAGACAAATTAATTTTTAAAAAAATGAATATAATATTTTAAGAGAAAATGACAATAAAATACCACTTGAATTTCAAAAAGACAAATAAGGCACCTGAATAAACAAAATGACAAATAGGGCACTGGGTACCAATCTGGAATTCATATTTTCGGCTAAAAGACCAAAATGCCCTGATGAAATGCGGGAAGACCGACGCTGAAAGTGAGAGAAAGGAGAGAGGAAGACCGACGCTGATGAAATGCTGGAAAAAGGAAAGAAGAATGTTGGAAATACTATTATCTTACTCCTTCGCATCACCATTCTGTAGAGATTGTTGATTTTGGTTGTGGGAAAGAGGATTTGTAGTGAGAGAGGGAGTGAACCAAAGCGGAAATTAGAAAACAATAGCAAGCAATTACGTAACGTAACTGCTGTCATATGCCTGCTGGTTTTTGGTAAATCCCATTACGTGAATGGTAATTTCACTATATATGTAGTTAATTATGAATTTTATAAAATACATATTGTGATTTACAACTTTTGTAGTGAAAGTGACTACTTTGTTAATGGGTTTTGCAACCTGTTTTCAGGAGATAAACAACTTGTTTGTAAAAACTAATAAAAGTGACAACTTTTGTAGTCACGTTGAATTAACTGGTTGCAAAAGCCATTTAAGAAGTGGTCATTTTCACTATAAAAGTTGTAAATATCACTGTGTTTTTTGTAAAATTCAGCGTCAAATTTTATTGATTTTTAGAAACAAGTTGCTCATCCCCTGAAAAGAGATTGCAAAACTCATTTAAGAAGTGGTAATTTTCACTACAAAAGTTATAAATATCACTCTATGTTTTGTAAAATTCAGCATGGAATTTTATTGGTTTTTAGAAACAAGTTGCCAATCCCTTGAAAAGAGGTTGCAAAACTCATTTAAGAAGTGGTAATTTTCACTACAAAAGTTGTAAATATCACTTTATGTTTTGTAAAATTTAGCATGGAATTTTATTGGTTTTAAGAAACAAGTTGCCAATCCCTTGAAAAGAGGTTGCAAAACTCATTTAAGAAGTGGTAATTTTCACTGTAAAAGTTGTAAATATCATTCTATGTTTTGTAAAATTCAGCATGGAATTTTATTGGTTTTTAGAAACAAGTTGTCAATCCCTTGAAAACATGTTAAAAACCCATTGAAGAAGTGATTATTTTCACTACGAAAGTTGTAAATCTCACTATACGTTTTGTCAAATTTAACGTGAAATTTTATTAGTTTTTACAAACAAGTTGTTTATCTTCTGAAAACAGGTTGCAAAACCTATTAACAAAGTAGTCACTTTCACTACAAAAGTTGTAAATCACAATATGTATTTTGTAAAATTTATAATTAACTACATGTATAGTGAAATTTACCATTCACGTAATGGGATTTACCAAAAACCAGCAGGCATATGACAGCAGTTACATTACGTAATTGCTTGCCATTGTTTTCTGATTTCCGCTTCGTCTTTCCCACAGGTTCACTCCCTCTCTCACTACAAATCCTCTTTCCCACAACCAAAACCCACCAAATCAACAATCTCTACAGAATGGTGATGCGAAGGATTTAGTTTCGTCAACTGGAGGGGGTTCGGTTTCGTGGAGTGGAGGGATTGGTTTCATCGAGTAGAGAGATTCGGTTTTGCTGAGGGGAGGGATTAGTTTCACCGAGTAGATGGATTGGTTTCGCCAAGTGGGGGCAGTTTCTCTTTCGCTGAGTGGGGGGAATTGCTTTCGCTGGGAGGAGGCGATTTCTACCTTTCTCTATCTCCTCAATTTTCAAACACAATAAGGGCAATTCAGTCTTTAGGCCAAAAATCAAAATTCCAGATTGGTACCTGATGCCTTCTTTGTCATTTTGCTTATTCAGGTGCCTTATTTGTCTTTTTGGAATTCAAG